ATAGATAGATAGATAGATAGATAGATAGATAGATAGATAGATTAGATAGATAGATAGATAGATAGATAGATATAGATAGAAGGGGTTAGAGAGAGATGATAGAGAGAAAGATAGAGAAAGATAAAGATAAATGATAGAGATAGATAGATAGATAGATAGATAGATAGATAGATAGATAGATAGATAGATAGATAGATAGATATGATAGAGAGAGATGATAGAGAGAAATATAGAGAAAGAGAAAGAGAAATGATAGATTAGATAGATAGATAGATGATAGATAGAGAGATAGAGAGATAGAGAGATAGAGAGATGATAGATAGAGAAAGATAAAGATAAATGATAGAGATAGAAAGTGAAAGATAGAAAGATAATAGAGGGGGGAGAGAGAGAGAGATAGTAGATAGGTAGATAGGTATACAGATAGATGATATATTAGGGGTGCTTAGATTAGAATGAACTTTTTATCTATTTTATACGACTGGGATTAGTATACTACTACAGTACTTTATGTTGTAACAATAAATTCAGATGGTTTAGGGCAGCGTTACATAACCTCAACAATTGTGAGATGGGTAGACTTCAACTCCCAGAATTCCCCAGCAGCATTTTCTTCTGTCTCACGTGACTTCCAGCAAGAATTCTGATTTGTTGATCTATCGATTACCACTAGCCCTCGACTTACAGCCATTTGTTAAGCAACCATTCAAAGTTACAAGGGCACTGAAAAAAAGTGACTTATGTTTACGACTGTCACGGCATCCCCTACGGTCACATGATCAAAATTGGCCAATTGCATGGGTTTTTTTACGGTTACAGAAGCCCAGGGTCACATGAGCAACATTTGTGACTTTCCCAGTAAGCTTCTGATGAGCAAAGTCAATGGGGGGAAACCAGATTTGCTTAAGAATCACATGATTCACTTAACAACTGCAGTGATTCCCTTAACAACTATGGCAAAAAAAGGTCACAAAATTGGGCATGACTCCCGCAATGACTGCCTTGCAAAGCAGCAGGAAATTCTGGTCCCAATTACGGCCTTAATTATGGAGGATTACCCGTAGGAGTCATTTTTCGACTCCTAACTAGATCAGGAGTGTCAAACTCGATTCCATTGAGGGCTGCATCAGAGCTGTGTTTGACTTGGGGTGGTGGGCGTGGCCAGGGTGGGCATGGCCAGCTCGACGCCACTTGTGTTGGGGGCGCTTGTGATGGCCCGACTAGTCTGCCAGGGGAAAACGGGCTCCCAAGCTCCATTTTTGGCTGCAACGGCCTCCTTCAACCCTCTGTTGTTCCCAATTCAGGTGCCAAAGGACGCCAGACACGAAGGGCAGGTTTTGATGGCTTTTTATTGGGGTACCCCAAGGAAAAGGGCTCCTGGCCTAAATGCCAAGAACCAAGAACAAAGGATTAAGAGAGCTGGGTGGAAGGGAGAGAAAAAGAAGAAGAGGAGGAAGGAAGAGAAAGAAAGAGTAGGAGAGAAGGTAGGAAGGAGAAGAAAAAGGGTAGGAGTAGGGAAGAGGTAAGGGAAGGAAGAAGGGGATGGAGAGNAGTTGTCTGCTGTTTTCAGGCCAGCCCTGCAGGCCAGATCTAAACACCCCGTGGGCTGGATCTGGCCCCTGGGCCTTGAGTGTGACACCCCTACTCTATACCAACCTTCTCCAGCTTGATGTCCCGCAGAAATTGTGATCCCAACACAGTTGGAAGGAATAATATTAGGGAAATATGCTAAAAGGGGTATTTCAACTCCAGATTGTCAATGGAGTCGTTAACTTCCTTGACATTTGTAATTCTGGCATCAATAGGAGTAGAAAAACGGTAATGCCATTGAGTTTTTTCAACGTTTTCCTCTCTGGATGACATGTCATTTTCCTAGCAAACCTTTGGAAGTGCTTTTCCCATTGCCTTCTATTATGGCGGTTTTTCAACTTGCCAACTTCTGAACTTCCTTATTAATTTGCTAACCAGTTCCAATCCTACTTAGGTTGTGACCAAATTGTCTGGTGCTGCCATCTGTTGACGCACAAAGTTACACCCACAGAAACACCAAAAGAGCTTTTGTGACGAACAAGTAGAAATGTTAATTGTTCATGAAGATGCTTCGAAATTTAAGAGGGTATTTACAGCCATTCCTTGAAGACTGCAAGAGGAAGGCAACGACCAGCCATCTAACATCCCAGATGAAAGGACTCAACTGCTTGTAATATCCCAATCAGGAAACTGCCATATCCCTGGATTAAACTTGATCTCTCTTAAAAGGGTAACAAGTTCACATTGAAACGCCCCAGGGGTGAGTTTCTGTACCAGTTGGTACCAGTTTGCTTTGTGGGTGCACCCGCCACGCATTGCTCGCACATGTGCAGTTGACTGTAAATTGTTCTGCGTATGCGCAGAAATATGCCGGCAATGACAGAAGAGACCAGGGAACCAGTTCAGGGGCGTGGCCAGTCTGGGTCGCTGCCGGTTCTGCGACCCAGACCAAATCACCATTACCAGTTCAGCCAAACCGGGCCGAACTGGGAGCAACCCACCTCTGAAACTACCCTTGTATAATAATAACTGGACTTTCTGAGAGGTCCTTGATGCTCTCTGAACTTGCTTGTTTTCTGGCAGACATTTCATTACTCAAGTAGGTATCAATGCTAGTAAGGAGTGGGGTTTGCTCTCAGTTTATATTCTGCTGACTTGCCTGTCTGTATTAAGAGCCGAGGTGGTGCACTGGTTACGGTGCAGTACTGCAAGCCACTTGAGCTGACTGTTATCTGCAGTTCAGCGGTTCTAATCTCACCGGCTCAAGGTTGACTCAGCNGGAAGGGGGATTTTATGGAGTTGGGTGACATTATGTAGCCATAACAACATTCTTCTTAGAAAGCCAAGGTCATCTTTGTCTCTGCACCTGGCCGGATCTGGATGGGAGGAATCTGTCTTCGTGGCAGTGGCAGATTGGACCATGCAATGAACTTGTGGGTGTTGTTTTCCCAGATGCGCCAACATGGCTCTTTTAATAAATTGCAATTTTGAGGAACCCCTTGCCTCTGATTTTTATTTTATTTTGGATGCTATTTGGAACCCTGACAGTGAGTTTGATGAAGTATTTTCCTGCCAACTTTGACATCCTGGGTTAAGCAACTACCCATGTGTTATGGTTTTATTCACAATGGTGTGTGTGTGTTTGTGTGTGTGGGTTCCGGATCCCGTTGCAACCCCGTGTTCTCCACATGAACATGTGAGGTGCGCATGCACACGTATGCAATGTGCGTATGCATCTTACCATCCAGCAACGCCTCCGCAATGCTCCAGCCGTTCGGCAGAGCATTGCGCAGGCACTGTACGTGCCATGCGCGGAAGCGCCGAAGGGTTTAAAGACAGGTAAGGAGCTTGGGCAGGTAGGTGGGCCCTCCGGAGCACCATACTGGAACGGTACCCAGTGCTCCGGGCAGGCTCCGGTATGCCCATACTGGGGCATACCGCCTGCAACCTACCACTGGTGTGTGTTTGTTTATTTGGTTGGAAATGGGCTGATGGGGGAAGACTGATGGGTATGTGAAGACCCATTGTGTTCAAAATGGTTAATGTATGTAATGGGACAGTGCAGGCTTCTTTTAAAAAAAGTTTTCAAAAGGAGATGTGATGTACCAAACATCAAATGTGATGTAATATTTGGTCATCAACCTACCTGCCTCCACCACAGCAAAAGTCCTACAATTTGCTTGCTAACCTGATTTCTTGGTCAAAAATGGAACTGAATTTGGTATTTATTCCTATTGTATTTGTACCAGAAACTTCGTACAAAAACAACCACACTGTAGTTTTGTTGACTATGCTGTTTTGAATTAATGAAGAGACAACCACATACGCATTATGTAACACTTGGTCAAAACTTCCTGTTGTTGTTGCAGACGTCTTGCCAGAAATATTCACACGCTTATATTCTCAGATTTGCCTGTAGAGGACACGAGATGAGAAATGATCAGAAACCATTCCTCCTCTCACCCCTCAACCCACAAGACATTGCTTGAGACCTGAGAAAGGAGATAGAGCATTAGAAAGACACTCAAAGTGACTCTTCTCTGACCCAATGAAGTCTAAGTGGGAAGGAGCCACAGTACAATCAAAATGCTAGGAATCTGTTTTAACAGATTAACAGAGTTGGAAGGGACCTTCTAGGTCATCTACTCCAACCCCCAAGCAGGAGATCCTATATACCAGTGATGGCAAACCTTTTTCTCACGGTGTGCCAAAATTGCTATCGCAGGTGCTCTGCCTACTCAATCCTCCCCGCCCACCTACAGGCATGTGACCCCCCCCTCCCACACATGTGTGTGCGACACCCCCAATCCCTCATGCCTGCATATGCATGCAACCCATCTCCAGGCTCCGGAGGCGTTCCTGAAGCCTGGGGAGGGCGCAAACAGCCTCTCCGGCTCCCCTGGAGACCCTCCGGAAGCCGGAAATGGATCGTTTCTAAACTTCCGATTGGCCTGTTGGGTCTGTTTTTTGCCCTCCCCAGGCTCCTAAAGCCTGGGGAGGGTGAAAACAGCCTCCCCTGGCCTTCCAGAAGGGTGAAAAATCAGCTGGGCAGTGTGTGCATGCGCGCCGGAGCTGATGGCTGGCGTGCCAGCAAATATGGTTCCATGTGCCACCTGTGGGAACTGCCTCCTGAGCAGATGGCAGCAATAATTTGCCCCGCAAGGCAGGTCAAACTGACAAATGCTTTCAGCAAATGATGGCAGTAAATATGTCATAAATAAGTGAATCAATAAACTGCGATGCAAAGGTTAAACTACCAGTGTCAGTTCACAGTCATTTGCAACATTATTTCCTCCTTAAACAGTGAAAGGAAGATGCATCCTGACAACACATGAAGAAAAGTAGATGGGCTGTTTTCCCGTAATTCTTGGATTTGTCTCTTGTCACCTTGATGGCTTTGTTCTTCTGTGCTCTTCCTTTTGCTATCAGTGACACAGGTTGAGACCCAGAGTGCAGGTAAGTTGCTAAGGAAGATGGGCAAAGCTATCTCTATAGGATCAAATGTTTAAATATGGTGATGGGGAATTGCTTACATTAAATATTCCAGCACACACAAAAAATGCCGTATTTTTCGGAGTATAAGACAGACCCTTTTCCCCCCTAAAAGAGGGTGAAAATTTGGATGCGTCTTATACACTGAATGTAGCCCTGCCTACCCATCGGCCCCCACTCTTTGGCCTCTGCTTTCCAGCAATTTACCTCCTTGCAGCAAAGGGGAAAATGGGGCTTGCGGGGGCGGCAATAGGCTATAGCAATCCCTGCCGCCTGAAACACCTGATCACCTGGAGGCCCTTGATGAAATTGAAAGTNTGGGGGCAATATGCTGACTCTGTAAACCGCTTAGAGAGGGCTGAAAGCCCTATGAAGCGGTATATAAGTCTAACTGCTATTGCTATTGCTACTAGAAAAGAGTCATAACATGGGGCAAAACTCACATGACAAATTTCTCACATAGCAACATAAATTTTGGGCTCAGTTGTGGTCATAAGTTGAGGACTGCCTAGAAAATCTTTGCAGCTTTTGTCTGGGCATACAATGGTGATCTTAACGATTTGTTTTTTCCTCATTTGATTTGGGACTGGATGCAGACATCTTTGTAGCTAAGGAAGCCAGAAAATCCTGTTTGGGAAAGAAACATCCCTCAAACAAAAATGGGTGACTAGGGGACAAGAAACAGACTTTTCCTGCCACGGGGGAGTCACTTCAGGGTAGACGTGTCTTAATTGCCACCTCCTTCCTTCCTTTGCGTTGCTCCTGTTTGTTTTTCAATCTGCTGGAAACGCAAAGATTAGTCAAACGAAGGGAAATACAAGCTTCCATGAAGCGGTTGAGTCACTGGAGAGAGAAACCTGTGTCAGGAATGCTGGACTTGGGGGTGTAAGTTCAACACGGGGTCATTTTATTTGTAGAGTCTCGAGTCCACAAGAATAGGTCTTTCTGGAATTTCGTTTGAAGATTTATTTCCTGGGATTTTCCTGTTGGGGGGAGAGAGAGCGAGAGAGAGAATGGAGAATTTGATCTGATTCGCCTTAAGAAACCAGATGGCATATTTCTGCCTTTCCATCTCCTTCTACCGCATCTGTAGTGTAGAAAGTTAACACCTACCCCTCTCCTATGGGACGGGGTGGCTCAGTGACTAAGACGCCGAGCTTGTTGATCAGAAAGGTCGGCAGTTCGGTGGTTCGAATCCCTAGCGCCGCGTAACAGAGTGAGCTCCTGTTACTTGTCCCAGCTTCTGCCAACCTAGCAGTTCGAAAGCACGTAAAATGGAAGTAGAAGAAAAAATCAAAAAGAAAAGGCAAAAAAAAAAAAAGAACAAAAAGAAAAGACAAAAACGACGAAGGGCAAGGCAGGAAGAAAGAACAAAACACAGGTATCTATTATAAAAAAGAAGAAGTATATCAACTGGTTACAACTTGCTTTG